TTTTTTTTTTTTTTCTAAAATGAATGCCGCGCTCCGCGAGCTAAGCCGCGCCGGCGGATATTTAGATGTATATCGGTGGATGTACGCAAATGTATGTATGTATTTCTATGTATACCGAGGCTTATCTACGAATTAAAGCTTGAGCCTAGAATGGGAAAAAAATTGCATCGATCGACTATTCGGTCAACACAGTCGCTCGTGAATTAAATGACTTTGACTCGAGCTTTTGCCGAGCGCGGTAAAAGCGAGCGGAATAATTAATCATTCGAAATTTTGCGATTTGCAATCGGCGAGTGTTCCACAATGATTATTATAAAGGTATTAATAATAACGGTAATTACGATTTTATGAGCGCTCATGAGAATAATAATAAATATTATGCGCGGTAGTTGCTCGCGTTTCAGAAAATATATAGTTTTATCGCAAAAATTGATGGAAATGCGAGGCCCACATTTCGAAATTTAATAACATGGAAAACTGCGGCTGTGTACATATGTAAAATACAGCAAACTCACTCATAATAACGATTGTGCGCGGCAAATTACAGAGGAATTTTTGCCATGGTCGAAGAACCTTTTTACCATCGCGTTATTCATTCGACACGTTTGTCGAGAAAAATGCTGAACGCGAGAGTAAACGCGATTTTCTAAACTTCGATCCGCTAAACTTTGATATCTTTTTTCTCGGAAACGTCGATAAATGTGTGTGTGTGTGTGTGGGGGGGGGGAGGGGTGTGGGTGTGTGTGTGGGTGGGTGTGGGTGTGGGTGTGTATATTTCACGTGACTGTTGTAAATAACTGTGTCGCGTGACACAAAAAATTTAGTTTTATACAACCCTGGAAAATTGGTCGACATGAAATATCGGTGTCAAATAAATGGAATATTCTATATGTCGTTTGACGCGCTGAAATTGAAGATAATAAAATGCTGCAAAAGGGAAATGATCGGCCGCTTGTGAAGATGTTGTCGCGCAATGTAATCAACACTGATCAGGTTTGCCTGGATTGCACGGATTTACGATAACGCGAGTTCCCGTTAATCCATAATTGATGGGATAATCGACGGCTCGATTGCGACAGAATTTGATCACCAAAAATATGTCAATAATTAATTAGTAATGGAGAAATCTCGCGTGTATCATGATGGCGAATCAAATCGAATTCAATCGCAAATAGAGGGCTAATTCGGGAAGTGCTAAAGATTAGACGTATAGGTCGATCATCGACGACCACCGGCATAGAGATAAAATGCTTGTCACACAAATGTCATCAAACACGAATGCGATTTGTCACGGTTCTTTTGCCGCGGGAGAGATCGTCACAGGATTATTTGCAGATTTTGCGGACAGCCGGCGGACGGCGGACGAGACAAACTCGTTTAACCGATATTATGGCTTCCTATATGGTGGCTAGTTGTGCGGTCGGCTGAATCCGCATCATGAAAATATCACGTGGCGTCTGAGCCGCATTTGCATAACGCGTCCGCCAACACGTTAGTCTCAAGGATCAACAATTATCACATCGAAAAAATGCGTCGCATCTCTTCGTCGTTAATACACGTCGGTCAAAGAGTACATTTTATCAAAATATCTAAATACAAAAGAGAAGAAAAATCATTCTTTTTTTTTTCTTTTTTTCTAACGATACAAGGATCGACTGTGGTAATTCACTTCTTAAAAGACTTTCTTCGTTATGAATTATTTGCAATTAGAAAAGCGAGTGAGGTATTTGAAATTCCACGGAGTTGCGGTTACTTTTAAATACGAAATTTCCCCTTCCAATTTCCGTCAAAGGGGTCTCGTTTAGCTGAGTGTCCGTGTTTTTCTCCTTTTTCCTCTCCCCGTCAAGCTGAAAGCGCGTTTGGTGTGAGCCGTCACGTTCGTCGCGGTGACAATTTGTCGGGCGACGGAACGTCGAGGTCGAGCCACTGAAATTTTTTAATTTCTTACGAGACGAGGTGGAGAGAGGTGGTACAAGGACTGGTTCATTTGTTCTGAAACAATTATATCCCGGGAATAAGGCGCCGAGGGCGCGCGCACAAGTCGTGCGACACAAAGGCGAGAACGGGAGGGAGGGGGGAAGAGACTGTCTCCGTGCATTTCGCGAAGGAACGAAGTGTCGCTGAAATGTAGAGTAGCTCGCTCTAGTGGATCTTTCACCCCTTAACTTTATTTCCAGCGTGTTGTGGCGTTACGGTTTCTCCCTAGATTAACTTGCAAAGTATATTTAATCTTAGTATAGTATAGTTAATCTTTACGAGTTACCCCCGCGACTTAGAAAGTTATCCTAGCCCCGCATCCCCTCCCCCTCCTTCCCTCCTCCCTCGCTCCCCCCTCCCCTATCTTCCTCATAATTCATTCGCCGCGAGTAATCCAGATTTTCTAACCGCGCTTACAATTAGATTTCTGTGTCTCCAATTAACAGGAGGCGACAGGCGCACGAGACGCGCGCGGGAACTTCATTAGCATACGTAATCAGAAGCTACTTACGAAACGACGAAGTTGTTGCGCATTGTTGCGCATTGTTGCGCCAACACTTTCCCGCGCGACTGTTATTTCGTTCCGCGTGTCGCCGGTTATATTCGCCGTGGGAGTGATATACGCGCGGCCGACCCGCTTTCGCGATTGTCGGGGCCCATTTACATCGCCCGACTCCGGGCTCGCACGGTGTCGAAGTGCCGCAACGAACATTCACCGGGAAAACCATCGGGTCTCGTGGTGGTAATTCGCTCTCGTCAGCCAACCTACCTGCCACCTGCTTGCCTGCCGATGCCATCGCCGCGTTGACTTTGTCGCGCCCGCAGCCCGACACTCCCTTACCGTATTCAGTAGTAACACCGTGTAACCGGTCAGACGCGGTGGGGCTAATTCTCCTGAGAAATCTGCGTTATAAAGTCCTTGTGTCACAGAGATAGACTTATCATATTGTATCATTATGTATCATATTTATTTTTTTTTTTTTTTTAACCTTAATTGTGTACTTTTCTACCTAATTTCAAGAAGTAAGTTTCCTCAATTATTCAGTACTTAAAGAAGAATGACGACTATTTAATTGTTGTATTACTAATTTGAAGAGGAAGTTAAAAGTTTGCTAATTTTATTTAACGTAAAAAAAAAAAAAAAATTTTAAAATTAAAATTCTTTACTATCATTTCTAAAATTTTCTTCTAAAATTTTCCTAGCTTCATTCTCAGAAGAATGATATTAATCGTGCAATTTTAATAAATCGAGGAAAAAAGAGACCCACTGCTTTTTCTCGCGGCGATTGAATTTTCTCCTGTTAAAAAGCAGAAAAGAAATTCTCGGCTCGTTAAAATCATTATTTCTCTCGGGACGGAAAAATTTAGCGTAACGATAATAAATTGACTCGATGTAAATATATGTTCGATCTAGGTAAGACAAATCTTTGGCGCGTTAGGATTTTATTCGACGCGTAACAGACCGTCGAAATCACTTTGACTCGCGTATTCAGGATTATTCGTTATACATTTGTTTGGTAACGAGTGAAATATTTCATAGTTCACCGTGACTTTGTTGACTTACTCGCTCGGCGCGCTTGTTGTTTTGGTGCGCGGCGTTATGGTATGTTGTGTACGCAAGGACGGCCTTCGTTCGCCGTTAGTCTTGCGCAGGCAAGCAAGCGGGGTGGTAGCGAGGGTCGCTGCCCCTCGCATGAATATTCCTCGCGATCGTCGAACAATTAACGATCCTCGATTCGTGCGATTCAGCTAATTACAACGGACGATTGCGGCGATACGCACGTGAATGCCGCGTGGCAAACATCTCGTACGACTCGAAACAAAAGTCAAATGGGAATCGCCAATTTCCCTTCCCATTTATTTGCACGGGAAATAATTAATTAATTTTTTAAGTTCGAGATGTGCTCGAACGAAATTTTTCCTTTCGCGCTGTGTATGTACACAACTCTCTCTCGTTAACTTGAATGAAATCTGTCGGCTCGTCTTCGGAAAGAGAGAACACACGTGTATAACACGAGTATAATACGCGCGAATTGTTGAACCTAATAATCCGAATGACGTGAAAGCCCTGCATGCACACGGCTAATATATCGACTTTTTAATAATGTTCCGCTTGTGTTTCGGAGGCTCGAGTACGGGATTAATATCGGCGGGAGTGTGGCGTAAAATACCGCGCGCGATCGTCGGATTCGGATGATTAGCACGAGCGCGATCGTAATTAACCGTGTGTTGTGTGTTTGTGTGTGTGTGTGTGTGTGTGTGTGTGTGTGAGTGACAACAACCTGCGGTGCAAATACCTGAGAGAAGGAGGAGGAGGAGGAGGCCTAGGAGAGGCAGTCGGGCAACGGCGGAACAACTGTGAGGTGAATATTCTATTTACTGTTCTTGTACAGATATAATCGTGTATAATCATTTTACACATACGGGCGATAATTTATTTATTTATTTTTTTTAATTGCAATTCCGATGCTTTAATTCGCTTGTATTTGTATTTTACAGATTGAAATTCCTGGTTACATCTCCGCTGCTGCGCGTCGCCTCGGTAAGTGATGTATCACGCTTGATTTTAATATGACGTAATGGATCCATGAAAATTCTATCAGAGATGTATAAGACGTGTGATGTAGACGTATGAATGTCACATGTATGTATCAAGCATACAAAAGTTAAAATAAAAATATTGCGGGTAAATAAAACAGATCTTACAGATCCATTATTTTAAAGTGGATGAGCTAAAACAGATTAGTTGTATATTATTTAATCCTGGATAAAATATATGTGCTTATCGATTTATCAGGCGACACGTAAAAAGCTTGCTTTTTATATCGAGGCATTATTTGTTGACGCATTTGGACATTGAACGAAGATCTGAAAATATTTACATTTATTTTATAGCGTGAATAGAACATATTAGGGAAAAATTACTAATATTTTTAATTATATATTTTGCGCAATTTTAATCTTGCGAAATAAAATTTGAAGTCTGATTTGGCCTTCATTAGAAGCAAAGATATAACAGGTTTTTTTTTTTAATTGCATTGTGTTTTATAAAGTAATCTTTTATAGCTCATTCATCGCATGATTCGATACGGCTATTGAAACTATTTTTTGCTTTTATCACAAGTTACTTCTTTCGCAAGGAGACAAATTTATCTCGTATGTCGTATGTTGTCAATTTTCGAAACTTCGCAGCCCCCGAATATCGAGCGCACGTGTGTGTGCACGTGAAAAATGAAATTTACAAGATATCCTTTAGTTATCAGTCTTTTAAGAAGTTTTTCCAATATCAGGCGCTTGATCTTGGGGAAGCTCCTTTAGCTAACTCGATATGTTGTCACGTACGAACGTAATTATCGAACAAACTTAAGTCGTTGTATTAACTTGAGCCGTTCAGGGCTGCTAATGGGAATGTCATTAACATCGCACTCATCGACCCGTAAATTCGTAAAAACTTTTGCAGATACGTAATACGATCGCGAAAGCAAGCACGATGTAATCCGTTTAAAAGCTCTAGCTAAATACATAACATGTCGTTCGCATATAAAATTGCTAAATACTAAAATATCGGCGAAGCGCGGGCCGGTACTCCTAAATTAAAAATATCTGTAATTCATCGATAAAAAGTACTCGCGACGTTATTTAAACAATCGACGATAATGAAGTTTTTAATGCCCGACGCTTGACTCGGCCTTAAGTTTCCCTCACGTTAAAACTCATCGCGACGATGCTTTAACGGCGCGGTGTGAAAAAAGCGCCTCGGTCTCTCCAGGCGGGGGGGGGGCTGATAATAACGCTGATAAAACCGCGCGCAGTTTACGCAGGCATTACAGATAATCTCTACTCGCGACAAGAACCCGACGCGGCGCGGGCGCGACGGGGCCGTTTATCGTCACGCGTAAAACCGCGATGCATCACGTCGAACCGACGTATGCATCTGCGCGCATACACACACATACACATACACACCACACACACGCACACACTTGTCTTTTTGCTCGGTGTCGTATGTCGCGCGAAGTTTCGAGCGCGCGGGGTAAACATGAATGAATCATCGCGTCGCCAGCCGCCGGTGTCCGATGGATCGACAGATGCCTGGCACTTTTTCCACGGATCTTTCCACGCCGCGGGCGACGTAGAAATCGAATCGAGGTGAATTTTCGGCGCGCGCGGCTGTTTACGAGCTGTCTTTTCGCGATCGAAGTTTCGCTCCCGAAAAGGCGAAAAGGGGTGGTTTCGTTTTAAACGAAAGACGAAACGTCGGACGTGCTTTTATTCGCTTTCACGATGTGGTCGTAGAGGTTGTGAGACCAAGACGACGACGACCGGTGGACGACGATGGTTTCACACCTCTCGCGAGGTGTGAAAGTGGCGGCGCATTTTCTGCGGCACGTACGTGTCTTAAAATAGCGCTTTTACGCGCTCCAACGTAAAGAAACTTTAGATTCAGCCGTCGCCCCTCCCGGAAATTCCCAGCTCCTTCGCCGATATTTGCAGTACGCGGCGTCGCGACGAGCGCGTTTCCGACGTGGGATTTATGGTTACGACAAATTTGACAGGTACTTCGAAATTTGCGACATGCCGAACGGAAGTGTCATTAAATCCGAATAACGACGTAATCTAACGATAATACGGTTAAATATCACGTCGACCGATCTCGAGTACGGTGAAAAGAAATATGCGCTGTCTATGAAAACAAATCAATTTAATGTGACAGATATTTGATATTTTTTTACGTCAGCTCATTTTATTATTTTCGCGTGTCTCGATAAGCGGATCGTTTGCCGATCGTTGGGGGTATTAACTCCGTACACAAAACCCGCAGCCACCTTAATGTTCCATTCGATTTAGCGGCCGACGCCGAAGGGATCGAAGTTGCTAACTCCCGCTACTGCTCCGCTCTTTGCAACGTTACACGGGGAACAACGAAACGAAATTGATCGGAGTTTACTGCTGTCGTAACCTCCTTACAGCTCCATTGAGCGTGGCCCCGCTCGGGAGGTTCTTTCCATCGTAAATATCTGGCGCCGACGTGACGCCCAGGAGCAACTCTCCCTAACTCTAAGCAAAGCGTAGCGTTTCCGTTTTAGAACGTGCTCCGGTTCTATGGGAATTGCGACCTCGTCGGGGGGGCTGCCAGACGCATCAGCGTTGCTTTACACCGTTAGGCCGAAATTTCCCGTATTTCCTACCGTACATCACGTAATGACTGCAACATATGCGACAACGGAATATATCGCACGTATCTTAAGCGCACATGCGGAACGTATGCATAGATTTCCACGGTTAAGTGAGATCGCGGCCGACCAACCAGTTTCGTACAAGTGCAGAATAATGTAGCTGATAAAACGCTTTTGCGGGATTTCGCGCGAGAAGCATATCCGTTTTCCTCGCGCGCGCGCGGGAAGCACGATAACGTCCCCACGATTCTCTTTCGATACCGGTCGGATTTCATATTAATTTTAGGAAATATATTTTATGTAGCGCGCGATGCCCCTTCTCTCTCTCTCTCTCTCTCTTGTTGCCGAACTGTTTATAATTTCTTGTATTTCAGCCGATTCCCTTTTTCCTTCGCCAGTACGCATTCCGTATTGCAGCGAGCTAGAAGTAAAAAAAAAAAAACTTGAAAAATCTAAACGAATTTTATTTTAAACATAAATTCCGTTGAAATTTCGAAATTTTTACATTTCATCGTAGCACACGAGGGAGAACGTAATACTTTATTTCAATCAGCGAATATGGTGTAAAAATGAGAAATTTCGGGACATCGAATCTCGCGAGAGTATTCGAGGAAAAAGCACATTGCGCTGTTTGATCTGAACGTACCGTGATATATTTAAAAGACGACCCGACCAGTTTCGTTGTACGATTAAATATTTCCGCGATACAATCCAATTTTTCCTAGGGGCGTGTCCAACATGGCATCGGTCGGTTCGCCGTTGCATAACGTAGTGCAATTACTTTAAACGGTTTGGCGAGCGGAGCGAAGAGGATAGGAGAGACTAGGAGAAAGAGGGACAGAGAAAGATGGGCAGAGAAAGAGAGAGAAAGAGAGAGAGAGACGGGGAGAGATCCCTGCGAGGGTGTACGTGCCGGAGAGTACCTACGAACTATTAGGCGCACCTACGCGATTTAGTTCGCCTCGGATAAATTCTAACGGTGCAGAGCAACAGAACAGTTGCCCGAAACCCCGAGCTTCTGAGCGGAGTGTCCCGGGTTTACGCGATAAAATCTGAAACGGGGAAAAAAGTTACGCGCTGGCCGGCTCGTTCTGCAACTATCATCTACCATCACTTCCTCGTGGCACGGTGGCACATTCCGCCCCGAAGCTTCCGGTCGTCGCACAAATTCCACGGCTAATCATGGTGCCACGCGATTTTAGGGCCTGCGTGGGGGGGGAGAGGGGGGGAAGATCCTCGGCATTATATTGTGCGATTCTCGGAGCATCCGGGCAAATCGGATCTTGAGAAAATGCGCGAGAAACGCGCGAGTGTCGCGCGAATCGATGAACGGTGTTCGGGAATATCGTGTCGCGGCGTTGCGTCACAACGGGGACCGGGAATTCATCGGGACTTGAATCGGTACGGCGAATCCGTGGAGGGTATTCGGAACTCCTCGAGCGCGAGCCCGAACACAATCGGTTTGATACCCGGAGTGATCAACACGGTCGGGAAGTTTTGAATTAGACATTGATTTCGGTATAATGCGCGTTCGAGAAATTGAATATTCTCAGATATAGAGGGAAGATGCTACGTTTATTTATTTCTACATTATTTCTCTCTCTCTCTCTCTCTCTCTCTCACTCTCTCTGAAAATTGATCGAATATCGTGACAGCTGAATGAAAGCCAATGATAGTCGCGTCCAAATTTCACGGCGCTGTTAATACTTATCCGATAACACCGTGTTAGCGTTTCAATTCGAACAAACGCAAACTACGCGATTAGAATGGTGACCGGAGGATCCGGGATTCCGAATTGAGTAATGCCGAATCGGGTTTTCCAATATTCGCGGGGGACGACCGGGAGAAAAGGGGAAAAGGTATGCGCGAATGTCATCAACGCGCCGATCGTCGGACCATACAAAATGGAAAAATTGCGAACGCGGGAAAAGCGCTTCCGCTTCTGTACCTTTTTATGTGATAACTGTGCGTCATCTACAGCCGGCCGGAGGTGGATTTCGGTGGAATAGATAGGCGATTTTGTGCGAGTGATAACAATCCTACAATAACTGGCTGAAACAAGACGCGCGAGTAGGCTAATATTTTTGTGTTAAATCCCCGAATTTATTTGCGTATCTATGCTGCGTGATATTTTAGTCTGTTAAAACACTGGCTCTTACAGGAGGCGACTGTAAATAAGTATAAGCAATTTTAGGAGATGATTCTTTGAAAATAAAAGAGAGATTTTCATATCACGTATTCCTATGTTCCTCCCTGAGGAGTACACTCTTCGAAACGGAAAAGCGTAAAATTAGCGAAAATTATATGGCCGGGAGCGATCATTTCCAACATTTATTATAATTTTGTGTTGTTTTGTTCTTCTTTT